CTCTCATTTCTACCTTCTTCATTGTTATATGGGCATGTTCTCCGATTGTGCCCTTCATTACCACACACCTTGCATGTCATTTTTCTCCCTTTTCCAGTGAGCTTCCTAAGCTTCCTTTTCTTCATCCTTTGTGGTTCACCTTTATGTCTTCTTCTCTTTCTCCTCGGCCTCCCTGGCATGCTCCTAACAGGTGGTGGTAACAACTCTTCTTCACCCACAGCTTTCCATGCTTTTGTCCCTTTCCTTATGCATTGAAGAGGGTATGCATAGGCAGCCAAATATTTTTCTTTCTTATAGAAATCTGAAATGTAGTGCTTTACTCTCCACCTTTTGTACCTTATGCAAGCCAAAGCATGAGGGCAAGGAACCCCCGAGAGTTGCCAATATCTACATGTGCAAGTTTTCTCATCAAATTTGACAACATGCTGATCCCCACCATCATTGACCTCAAACTCATTAACCCCATTTGGCTGCACACCACATCCCTGTGACTCTGCCTTCAGTTCCTCAAGCTATTTTCTGATTCTAGGAGCAATGTCATCACCTTCAGGCCATTTTTCTGCAAACAGCCTTTTATCAGCTATCCTAACCATCAATTGATCCCTAATATGATTATTCATTGCAATTATCGCCTTACACCTTGCCCCTAGTATCTAAGAGTTGAAAGTTTCAGAAATGTTGTTGTCAATTGAATCACATTTACAATTATCCTGGATAAATGCTTTGCACCAATGCTCTCTAGGGTACCCTAACAAGTCATCATGTCCTTGCCTATTCTTTGCAAACAAATCACCTAACTTATCAATGAAATCATCTTGAAATGTTGCCTTTGCACAATTCCAGAAGCAAATCTTCATCTCATCACCTCTATGACCCAACTTTGCCCAATTGCAATAAATATGCCTTGCACAGTGCCTATGCTCAGCCTAAGGTAATATTAACTCTACAGTTGATAATATAGCATATACCAATAATTAAAACCAATAACAGCAACAATGAGTAATTTTACAACAATTAACATAAAGTTTTAATAATTAAAAATAATAAATGCATATAAAGAAATGAATAAAAGATACTGATGTGTTCACCTGATGTTCATCTGACATAACTGTTACGCCTGCACCAGTGCCAAGATCTAAATTAGTTTTCAATAGTTCAAAGAACCACTGCCATGACTTAAGACATTCAGACTCTACTACTACCCAGGCAATTGGAAACATCTGGTTGTTCCCATCCTTCCCAACTGCAAATAGCAGAATTCCCTTACATATTCCCTTCAAGAAATAGCCATCAACACCAAATAACCTTCTGCACCCATCCTTCCAACCTTGCTTTAGGGAATGCAGACAGACATACATTCTATGGAAAGTTCTAGCATCACTAGAACTTGTTTCAATGGCAGTGACAACAACAGTATTCTCTGGATGGCTATCGCTCAATATTTTGGCGTAGCTCTTCAAGTATTTGTATTCATCAACATAGCTACCCTCCAGTTGTGTCATAACATGCTTCTCTGCCTTTTCTGCCTTGTCAAGTGTGATGTTCACTTTAATTTCAGTCTTGCACCATTTAACAATCTTGGTTGGCTTTGTAAATGGTGCTTCATAAATCCTTCCTTTAAAAAGATCTGCTACAACCTTGTAAGTTACAAGCTCATTATCATAAGATTTAAAGCATCTATGCTCCCCATAGTATGTCTTCACCACAAAACACTCATATCTGCTGTCATAAGATGCAAACAACTCCCATTTGCACCCTGTTTGGCATCTAAACCTCACCCTAGTACGTTCATTTCTGACCTTTCGCAGTTGAGCTTGCTTTTGTATGGAGTATTTACAAACTGTCATTCTGAATTGCTTTGCATCTTTGAACCTCATCCCAATATCAAAATATGGGACCTTCCATTTTGGGTTATAGTAGGTTTGACAGACATTTCTGCTAACAACATGATCTGGTTCCACAAAGATGTCATCCTCTTCATCTGAATTCCAATGAAATTCCCAAGCACCAGGATTATCACTGTCTGTATAATCAGACTCCCTGTCTTCTTCATCTATAGAGGAACCATTGTCATCATTGACAAGTAGTTACTGCGTGCTATCAATTGGATCACCTCTTCTCACCCTATCCCTACCACCTCGTCTAACTTTATGCTGAGCAACAGATTTCCTTTTTCTACCTTTACTGCATGTTGTAGTTTCTTCTATACCAGCAGCATCTGTCACAGTAGCTTCTTGGATAGTAGCTTGATCAGTTGTGACTACAGGTTATTGTTGTTGCTGGACATATGGTTGCTCTTGAGTTACTACAGGTTTTTCAACATGATCATCTTCTTGCTCATTCCTAGTTTCAGTTTGCACAGTTGCCTTAGAGTTATTTCTACTACTTCTTGTGGCATTTCTCCTTCCCTTCCTAACCTCCTGAGCCAACTTAGCAATATTGACTTGCTCATCATTAGTTTTGTCACTCCCCAATGACCATGCACTATCATCTGAACTTGTCTCCCAGTCAATAACTGACACATCATCACTACCACTATCGACATCACTACTTTTTTCACTTCCTAAATTACCCTCATCCCCATGCACAGAAACATCACTACCACTATTGTCACCCTCATCTTTGGAAACATCCCCTGTGAGCACTAGTGGACCCTCAACAATCTCAGGTATATTGATGTCATGGTCGACATACAACTCCACATTGCTAGCATATGAAATTATATCATTCATCTCCCTAATTGCACTGTCTGAATTATAAGAAACTAATCCATCTGGCATATCCATCCAAGGTTACATATAGTAAATGTCTTTAATTGAAACTCAATCATAACCTTGTCTAACAACATAGTCAGTAATCATAAATGAATTCAACTTATCCGTATCACATGGAACATCCTCTCGTACACCCCCTACATATCTAAATGGTGGTCCCTGTACAAAACGCCCACCATAATTAAACCATATAATACCTCCACTTGGGTCCCCCATTACTATACAACAAATAAATTAATATCATTAAGGCATTACTTCATTAATTAAACTAACATAATAAGACAACACAAAGTACACTGATGGTGGGACACAATCGGTGGGACACAAAAGAACAACATTCTTCAAGAAAATACAAAAATCCATAAAGAATGATAGAAAAATGAAACTTATTGACAGCATAAAGGCACTCACCAAACTTTTCTGTCTTTTTCGTGCCCTTTTTCCCTGACAATAGTCCCCTTTGATCAAAGACTTTTACGAACTAATATGAAATAAGAAGTTCTGATTTTCCTTCGCTTTTCAGACTCCTCACTGACATAGATTCCCTTCGATCGCACCAAATCGATGGGTTTTTGGATTGGGTTTTTTTCTTAAGACTGAGAAGAGAAGGTGGTTTTTGCAGATCTAATTTAAGATCTTTGGGTTTTTAGGTTTTTTTTTTTTTTTTTGGTGGGACGCGGGGACAAGTGGGAAAAGTCCCGCGCAGTGAGCCCCACTGCACACGTGGACGTCACATCATCAAAAAGCAGATCCACATCTGAACCTAACGAATAAGAAAACGTTGCATGTGCCACGTCAATTTTTGGGTGCCACGTAGTGCATTTTTTAACTGTGCCTGACGACCCGTTAAAATATTTGGTTTTTCACGGGTTTTGAAAAGTACAAAGTGTGAATAAGGAGGAAAAATTCTAGAAGGTGTTGACCGCGGAAAAAAAAAAAATGGAGGGTGCAAATAGGGGCTTTG